AATAAGCTTTCCTAGAATTATCTTCCCCGGGGGTGCCATCTGCTCCCTCCTGGGTTCTTGACTACAGGGACAGGCCACAGCAGGTCACGTGGGGTTCTGCAGGCCGTGGCAAGGAAGTAGGTTAGTTGGCAAAGGTTTTAAGCAGAGAAGAGCGCAAAGCCTTCTGAGCCTCCGAACCTGGAATCCATAGGCCTGGGTCTGGGGTGGGGGTCCTGACAGAAAACCCAAAGGGACCTGGATTTCCTGGCCCCAGGAAAGGTCCTGCCTCTGCCCCTCTGTGTATGCTGTGTATGCTGACACACCCGTGTGTCCCCCAGAGTGCTTCTCTGATGTTCCCGGGACCAGAACTCAGTACAAAATGAGAACAGCCCATGATCTCAAGCAGAGGGGCTCACGGGTCCTGGGTCCTCAGCTAAGTCTTCCACCGCGTCAGTAGCAACTCTCCGGTGGTGAGGGACGGACACTCAACCCAGACAGGCTTAAGCAAAGCAAAACAAAACACAAAGTTTGATGGAGAAGACGTACTGGCTCAAACAAAAAAAGAAAGCTCAGGATACTCCGGCTGCAGGCACAGCTGGATCTAGGAGTTCAGTTGCTGACAGCAGGCGCTCAGGGTCACCATTTCTGTTTTCTTTGATATAGCTTCATCTCAAGAAGCCTCTGTCCTTAAGGGCACCTCCACCCTTACGTCACGCCAACCTCCTTAATAGTACATAGTGTAGGCTGTATCTCCAACATCTCCAGTGAAAGCCTCAGATTTCATTTTCATCAGCTCCGAGGGACTCAGAAACCGATCTCTGAACCATCACCCAGCCAGTGGTACTGGGCCCAGGAGCCAGAAGGTAGGTCTCGTCCACTGAACCTCACAGACCCTAGAGCCAAGGAGTAGAAATTCCCCAAAGAAAAAATAAAGGGCCAGCTTCCAAAACTAAGAGAGGTGAGGGTGTTTGGAAGGCACATTCCACAGATGGCCACCCCCTCCCCCAGGACCATCCTAGGCTTGGAATCTCACATTGTTGTTTTCCTTCTTCCTCAATACCACCTTTATCTTGGTGCTTGGTATCCCAGCACCTGGAATTGGGCTCAGGAAAGTTTTCCTAAATGAATAAAGGGCTTACAGAAATTCATGCCGCATCCTGGTGACTCCTAAGCGTAGCCTGTATCAATTTTCTAGGGCTCCTGTAAGAAGGCAGCACAAACTGGGAGGCTTAAGACATCCAAAATGTATTCTCCCACAGTCCTGGAGGCTAGAAATCCAAAATCAAGGTGTTGGCAAGGGCTGTGCTCCTTCTGCAGGCTCCAGAAAGAATCCTTCCTCGCCTCTTCCAGTTTCTGGTGGCTCCTGACAATTCTTGGCATTCCTTATCATGCGACCAAGACATTCTAAACTTTTAACCTGATTACATCTGCAAAGACTACAGCTGACCCATGAACAGCTCTGGGATCAGGCAGGGACAACGGCCGCACGTGTAGTCAAAACCCTGAGTACAACTTGTGACTCGCCCCCCCCCCCCCAGAACTCAACCGCTACCGTCATCATAGATGCTACAGATATAGATACGTTACTGATGTCATAGACAACAAATGAAAGCTATTCTGATGTTCTGTGTGTTATGTGCTATGTTCTTACAATAAGTAAGCCCGACGGAAGGAAATGTCATTAAGAAGATCATAAAGGAGGGACACCTGGGTGGCTCAGCAGTTGAGTGTCTGCCTTGGGCTCAGGGCGTGATCCTGGGGTCTGGAGATCGAGTCCCTCATCAGGGCTCCCTGCAGGGAGCCTGCTTCTCCCTCTGCCTATGTCTCTGCCTCTCTGTGTCTCTGATAAATAAATAAAATCTTTTTTTAAAAAAGAAAATAAAAAAAACAAAAATAAATAAATAAAAAAGAAAATCATAAAGAAGAGAAGATACATTTACAGCCCTACACTGTATTATTGGGAAAAAATCTGCATATCAATGGTGGATCCACACAGTTTAAGGGTCATGTTGTTCATGAGCCAACTATATACCCGAGGGAGCACACATTTATTACAGGTACTAGAGGGTAGGATTTGAACATATCCTTTGGGGGGGGCACAGTTCTCCCCACTACAGAGCCCCTTTACACAACCGGCATTAAGACCGGCTAAAAGATGCTGCAGTCTCAAACATAATACCTGATCTTGGTGGTTATTTTAAAATTTTTTTTAAATTTATTTATGATAGTCACACAGAGAGAGAGAGAGGCAGAGACACAGGCAGAGGGAGAAGCAGGCTCCATGCACCAGGACCCCGATGTGGGATTCAATCCCGGGTCTCCAGGATCACGCCCTGGGCCAAAGGCAGGCGCCAAACCGCTGCACCACCCAGGGATCCCGATCTTGGTGGTTATTATGCAAGAGTTTGTCTGGTTGCTTTCATTTAATGGTTCCCCCACATCCACATGGGGTTACTGGGATTACCACGGCAGGCTCTTAATGGCAGGCGGTGAAAGGGATACACAGGGATCTCATGTGGTCACCCACAAGTCCATTGCCACTAGACTGCCTGTGCTCTCCAGGCACCTTGGGCCCTAGTCACTGCCGGGCACTGCCACTCCTCCCTCACTTCTGCAGCTGATGCCATTTCTTTTTTTTTTTTTTTAAAGTTTATTTATTTATTTATGATAGTCACACACACACACACACACACAGAGAGAGAGAGAGAGAGAGAGAGGCAGAGGTAGAAGCAGGCTCCATGCACCGGGAGCCCGACGTGGGACTCGATCCCGGGTCTCCAGGATCGCACCCTGGGCCAAAGGCAGGCGCCAAACCGCTGCGCCACCCAGGGATCCCCAGCTGATGCCATTTCTAAATGCGCACCAAGCACCTACACTGGACACCGACGCCCCGGAATGCCAAAGCCATGCATGTTGTAGAGAGTCACAGTCAGGGCGCCTGGGTGGCTCAGTTGGTTAAGCGTCTGCCTTCGGTTCAGGTCCTGATCCTGGAGTCCTGGGATCGAGCCCTGCGTCAGCTCCCTGCTCAGTCAGGAGCCCGCTTCTCCCTCTGCCTCTCCTCCTGACTTGTGTGCACATTCTCTCTCTCTCTCAAATAAATAAAATCTTAAAAAAAAAAAAGAAAAAAGTTGCTCAGCTAAAGCTGCCCTCTGCAGAGGAGCCCCAAAGCTATGTTGTTTAGGCTGCAGTGTCTTACAAAGCCTTCTGGGAAATGGTTAAACCCTGAATGGGGCCAGCAATATCTATGAGCACAACTGAGCCAAGCCCCATGCGAGGCAACAGGGAACAGTGGAGACTGTGGCAAACCAAAGCCCACGCCTCATCTAAACGGGGCAGCTGTGATTTATCGCCAGCTACCGGTTGCCATGTGAAAATTGGCACCCAGGATTGCCAGACCTTTGGGCATTTTTGAAAGAAAACCAGAAAGTCAGATTTCTACATGAAGTCTCCCAAGTTTCAAAATGCTGTCCAGGCTGGATTCAGCCCACAGGCCACGAGTCTGCAAGCCCGGCTTTAGTGAGACAACTTTTTCCATCTTCCCAGCTGTCCACTCTGCAGCTTGACTCTCTGGCTGCCCACGGGACATGGACATGTGTCCAAGGGGGCAGAGCCAGGAACAATCCCCCTCCCCCACTGACCTCAGCCTCACCCTCCCTCAGATAGCCAGGGCTTCTGCTCAGGTCAGGCCCATGGGTCTGGCTCCCTCCTGTGGGGCTAAGTCCCTCCCTCAGGCCTCCTTTCAGATTGAGTGCTGGCAGGCACGTAGCACACCGCTGCCAGGCAAGCCCATGCATGTCTGAAGCCCACTGAGACCCAAGCTTCTGAGGCTTTTCCGGTTCTCAAGAGAAAAGTCCAGACTTGTCACCATGAGCCCTGAAGGCCCTCACTGGAAGATTGCTGCTGGCCCTTGGAGCCCATGGCTTTGGTCCTCAGATTGGTCCCTGCTGATCCCAGTCCCATCTCTTGACCCTGCCCTTCAACACCGCCACCCTTTTTAGATAGAGGGAAACTCCCTTCTCCAGGGCGGCTTGCGGTCTTCCCTCTCTGGACCTTTGCACTCAGGGTGCCCCAGACTGTGCCTGAAACGTCCTTCCCACCGCAACCCCCACCCAACACTCCCGTGTCTCTGTAGGTGGTAGCTCAGAAGTCCCTTCTCCCAGGAAGCCTCCCCTGACCACCTATACTAGTTTAGGGGCTGAGGACAGATGTTCTCACAGCCCTCCAGAGTTCCCCCTTAGCACTTAATTGTCTTTCCTGAGAGAGGGAGGGGACATCCCCCCCCCCCTTGGGCAGGGACCAGAACCCCTGTGTTTCCAAGTATGCATCTCGCACCCAGCATCACGCCGGGACGCCAAGCAAACGCTCCGATATCTGCAGTAGGAAGAAAGGAAGGAAAGGAAGCGGGAAGGACGAGGGGAGGAGAAGGCGCGACCCTCCACCTTCTCTGTTGCCACATCTCTTGCTCTTTCCTTTTCTGCCCAGGTCTTCGCCGCTCTGTCCTTATGTCTGGAGTTCTGTCGGCGCCGCTGACCGTCCGTTTCTGAGCTGGCGTCCCCGTCTCCGCGCGGCCCCTCGCGCCCTCGCCCCCGCCGCGGGCCGCGCTCCCAGCCCCGCTGCTCCCCGACCTCGGGCGCCCACGGTCCAGGGGGGTCGCGCCCGCTGTCTCCCGCGGGGCGCGGGGGTCCCGAGGCCGGGCGCGGGGCTCCGGGGCGGGGGAGGAGGGGAGGAGGGGAGGAGGAAGGGGGAGGAGGGGAGGAGGGGAGGAGGGGAGGGCCGCGCCGGGGCGGCGCGGGGCGGGCCGAGCGCGCCCCCTCCCTGCGCCGCCCGCGCCCTCCCAGCCCCGCAGGCCACATCTGGCGGCCGCCCCGTCCCGTGTTTCCGCTGCATCCAGACTTCCCCAGGCGGCGGCTGGAGGCTGCGCATCTGGGGCTGGAGCCGTACAAAGCGGCTACGGGCGGCGGCGGCGGCGGCGCGGGCTGGGGCGCGGGCGCGGGCCGGGGCGCGGGCCGGGGCGCGGGGCGGACCATGCGCCGCTGAGCCGGGCGAGCCGAGCCCACCGAGTCGCGCGGCCCCTCGGAGCGCAGCGCAGCGCCAGGCGGGCGGCGCCGCGGCCGCACGCACCGACCAGCGACCCCCCGGGCGACGCGCGGGGCCCGGGAGCGCGATGACCCCGGCGCGCGGGGCCCGGGGCGCGCTGGCCGGCCCGCTGCGGGCGCTCTGCGTCCTGGGCTGCCTGTTGGGCCGCGCCGCCGCCGCGCCGTCGCCCATCATCAAGTTCCCTGGAGATGTCGCCCCCAAGACGGACAAAGAGCTGGCTGTGGTGAGTTGCGGCCCGGCCCCGGGAGGGAGGCGAGTTGGGAGAAACTCCGGAGGCCGAGGCTCGGGGTGGGGGTGGGGCGGGGGGGTCTCCGGAACAGCCACCCCCGCGGTGGGCGCGCGGCGTGGGGAGGAGCTTCTGGAAACCGCTGGGTGGGGGGTGGTCTTCGGCCGGCGGAAGGCGGGATCTCTTGCAGCCCCTTGGTAATCGGAGAAGGCCTTGGGTAAACAACTTGGCAACTTTGAGGCCCCGCAGGGTGGGCGAGGAGCCAGCGGTGGCAGGGCCGGGGATGCTTTGGCCAACAGCTGGAAGGGACCTCCTTTGTAAATAAAGGGGCATTGTCTTGTAACTGGGGGATTTGGCAAGGGGGCCCGCTTTGTAAACAACTTTTGGACACATCTGGGGGGTTGGCTACGAGCCCTTGGCCCTTGGCAAGCGTCTTGCTCGGCCTTTGGCCAGAGGTCTGAAAGGGGCCTCTTGAAAATGGAGGGTCTTTTGATCCCGCGTGAGACTTTGAGAAGAGGGTCCCTTGGCGCCCAGTTTGGGTTAACTTTGGCACACACATGGATAGGAACTCAGGGCAAAGCAGAGCTTGGCCAACGCCAGGGAACCTTCGGCACACATCTGGAGAGAGGCCTTGGAGGGATCTTTTGGCAAGTATTCGTGGGCCGGAGGGGAGCAAAGAGCGCATCCTTTTCACCTGGCTTAATGGACAGTTGGCCCGGAGGGTCAAGCGTTGCACCTGGAAAGTTTCCTCGAACTTCTCCAGAGGCTTGGAGAACCGGGGAGAGAGCTGGCGGGCCAGGCGCAGGGAGGGGCAGGCGCACGAGGGGCCCCGGCGCGTGGGGCGGGGGCGGGGGCGGACTGAGCCCCGTGCTGGTGGGAGAGCCGCCAGCCGGTCCTCCCTCCGGGCGGGGATCCGAGCTGTGGCTCGGAGGTGGTTTTGCCAGCGCGCTCGCCTGGCGGCGGAGCTCCCTGGACCGGCCGGCCGCAGCGTTACTCGAGGGGGCTGGGGGCATCAGAGGGGCGCTTCCTCTCACCCTGTAGGCGCCTGGAGCCTCCAGGGGTACCTCCCAGCCCACGAGACATCTGCTTCTTTATTATTCTCCTTCATCCTGGCCCTCAACCTGCCCAGGACAGGACTTTTGTACCCCCTGGTCACCCTAGGAACCCCTTCTCAGAATGTGACGCCACCACTCCCTCTCCCTGCATATAAGCTTCTGTCCCTGCTGGATAAATAGGTTGGGAGATCATACTTGTCTTTTTTCTTTTTAAGATTTTATTTATTTATTCATGAGAGACACACAGAGAGAGGCAGAGACACAGGCAGAGGGAGAAGCAGGCTCCCTCTGGGGACCCCGATGCGGAGTTTGATCCCGGGACCCCAGGATCATGCCCTGAGCTGAAGGCAGACGCTCAACCACTGAGCCACCCAGGTGCCCCGAGAGACCTTACATTTTTAGGGGGCTACTCATTTCAAGGATCTGGAGCTGGCATGCCTGATGATGTGGCTGTTGCCTGGGGCTGGGCTTTGCAACACTGACAGAGCTCCCTGGGTCCCCACACCTCCTACAGCACACGGAAGTCCATGTTGCCCCAAGGCCATGCAGTAGGAGGCTTGAGGGGCAGCCTCTGGGCTTAGGCTGCCTGGCCTCTCATCAGGGCGTCATGAGTGGCCAGCCTCCTTGGGCAAGTGACTTCATTTCACAGTCTCAGCTGCTTCTGCAAACAGCATTGAGAGTGGGTCTCAGAGTTAAGGGTGAGGCCATCATAGAAACCTTGAAGGGCCCTTGGTCCATGGTAAAGCCTCAGCGGGTGATAACCATGGTCATTATTCTCATTGTCACTATTATTATACTCTCTCTTTCCCTTTCCTAGCTACCCCCACCCAAACAGGGTTAGGGCCTCTGTAATAAAGTCTCTGGGCTCTTTTCACCATTCCAACATAACACACCTCACACATCCAATTTTGCACAGACTGTGGTCCATCCACCTCCCCACGCTGGGATTTGCACCCTGGAGACTAGAAACACCTGTCATGTTCACCAGTCTCTCCCGAGTACTGAGGCACACAGGTCCTGGCACATGGCAGGGAGGCAAAAACCTGAGCTGGTTGGTCCCTGAAACTCCCTAGGGGCCTGTTTAGTTTAGGCCTCAGCGAGCACGGAGCCAGCTGAGGACAGGATGATCTTCTTTTTGGAAATTACAGCTCTAGGATTTGAACACAGGTCTGTCTGCTACAGGAATCCATGCACATGAGCCTTGAATATCCTTCTAAGGAAAGTGACAAAACCAAATCCCTCTGTCTTCCGTAGTTAGGTGAATTAAAAGAGATGGTGGAGGTAAAGAGGAGAGGCAGAGAGTTATACTTCCGAGTCTGGGCTCCAGAGCCAGATTGCTTGGGTTCAAATCCACCCTCTGCCATTTGCGAGCTGTGGGATCGTAGGCAAATTTCCCGACCTCTCTGTGCTTTACTTATTTATTTAAAGATGTTACTTATTTATTCATGAGAGACACACAAAGAGAGGCAGAGACGTAGGCAGAGGGAGAAGCAGGCTCCCTAAGGGGAGTCCCATGCGGGACTCGATCCCAGGACCCTGGGATCATGACCTGAGCCAAACGAAGGCAGACACTCAACTGCTGAGCCACCCAGGTCCCCCCTCCCCTGTGATTTAATTTCTTTCTCTCTATGGGGGAGATAGCAAGAGTAACTGCATTCAGAGTTGCTCTAGGGGCATCTAGTAAGCTCCCAACACGTGCCCCCAGCCATGTGTCGTTACAGCTTTCAGGTCACTCAGTTAGTGAGTGACAGAGCTGGTTTGGGAACCTGGGATTCTATCCCAGTGCCATTAGGTTCCTGACTATTTTGGTCAACATTATGTTATCCTAACATGGCTGCTTGCCTCGGGCTGTTTGTTTCTTCCAGCAATACCTGAACACCTACTACGGCTGCCCCAAAGAGAGATGCAACCTGTTTGTGCTAAAGGACACACTGAAGAAAATGCAGAAGTTCTTTGGGCTGCCCCAGACTGGGGAGCTTGACCAGAGCACCATCGAAACCATGCGGAAGCCACGCTGTGGCAACCCTGATGTGGCCAACTACAACTTTTTCCCCCGAAAGCCCAAGTGGGACAAGAACCAGATCACATACAGGTGCCGAGGCAGGGCTGCAGGCAGTGGGGCCCCAGAGCTGGGGGACACTGAGTGTCCTTGGGCCTTGCCTTCTCCTTCGTGGGGACCCAGGGTGTATCCAGTGACAGCCTGGCATCTTCAGAAGTTGAGTTCAAAGTTCTTAGGAACTGGAGTGAGACCAGAACTTGAATCTCACACTAGCCTGGGGGCAGCGGGCTGCTTGGCTTGCAGTGCTCTGAGCCTTGGCTTTCCAGTGTATAAAATGGGGCTAAAACACAACCTCCTCTTAGGTTTGTTGGAAACTAAGCTTGGTCACCGATATAAAGGGATATCCTAGCACCCAGCATACAGTGAGAGTGTAAGGAATGCCAGTCACTGTCCTTATTAGAGGGGCTCATAGGGTGGGTGAAGGAATTTGATGATTGGTTGTTAATTGAGTTTTATATGGTATTATAGAGTTGTTATTATCGGTTGTTAATTGGGCTGAGAGCTCCCTCTGAATGCTCATGTTGGATTCCACGGGTGAGATCTCTGCCTCATAGCCCTCAATGCACTATTCATTCCCCCCCCACCCCCCCCCGCCCCGCCGCCCACCAGCCGGAGGTGAGAAAGGAGACTCTTGAGCCAGGTGTGGAGATGTGGGCTGGTCTAGGACTCCACAGAAGCCCAAGGCATTCTGGGTGGACTGTTCTCTTAGCTCTGCTCCACATGCACACACATATACCTGCTTTTGCATACACAGTCATGCACACTCATACATGCCTGCAGAAACCTATGCACCCCTTACACGCTTAGGCACAAACTTACATACCTGCATACATGCACGCACATTTGCACACATTCATGCATGGTCACACACACGCTTGTACATGTACTTGCATGCTCGTGTGCATATGCACACTCCTGTTCCCTTGTACACCCAGACACACTCACATGCATCTCCACCCCCTGCAGGATCATTGGCTACACACCTGATCTGGACCCTGAGACAGTGGATGATGCCTTTGCTCGTGCCTTCCAAGTCTGGAGTGATGTAACTCCGCTGCGGTTTTCTCGTATCCACGATGGAGAGGCTGACATCATGATCAACTTTGGCCGCTGGGGTAGGCAGAAGAGGGGTCAGCAGAAGGCAGTCTGGCCATTGGAGGGGCACGGGGTCCTGAGCAGAGCTTAGACAGGAAAGTAGAAGATGTGTAGATACTGGAGAGCCACATTGATGTGGGGGCAGATGATTTGACAGTGGGTTTATCCTGGATGCAGTGTAATCCTGAAAGCAGGTGGTCCACCTGCATCCCCCAACGTGGTAGTCACTAGGTACATTGGGCCATTTTAATTTAAATTAGTTAAAATTAAATTAAACTTAAAATTCAGTCACACTAGCGACACTTCAGCTCCTCAGTGGCCACATGAGATTCATGGCTATTGAATTGAATGGCACAAAGAATCTCCTCATCGTCACAGAAAGTTCTGTTGGCTAAAGCTGGTGGACACTGAGGAATTCTAGATGTGAGAGAGGGTCAGAAACAGCAGAGTAGTGTAGACTTGAGAGGAAATGGGCTAGAACCTGGCATCAAGGATGCCATGTGGGTTGGTATTATGAACACTGGCAGTAGTATAGACACGAAGGTAGGTAATGTGGAGATTGTGAGTGGTATTGCGATGTGGGTGAATGGCAGAGGCAACAGTGTTAACATGTGGGTGGGTGGTATGCACCTGGGTGGCAAAGTAGACTTGTGGGTTAACATTGCGGATAGTGAAAAAAACAAAACAAAACAAAAAAAAAAAAAAAAACATTGCGGATAGTGGTAATGGTATGAGTTGAGGGTCAGATATAGGGTTAAATTGACAGTATGGATGTGGGGTAGGTGATCTGGACAATGGTATAGATGGGACAATGAGAGAGTGGTGAGGATGAGGGTGTGGCACATTAGTATGTGGATAGGTATGATGTCACTGGCGGTAGTATAGACAATGAAAGTCAGCGGTAGAGATCCTGGGGACTGTATAGACTTGGGGTGGGTGGGTAGTGTAGACCATAGGATAGTTATAATCAAGTCAGGAACTCTACTGAGACTCTGTGTTCCCAGGGCTGGATGACCGTACCAGGACAGGGAAAGGGATGGATGTTAGGGTTGAGGGACCATGGACAGGGATGTGGCTGGGTTAGGGCCCCGCTGGGGCAGCTAGAAGCTGAGACCCTGTGTATTGCAGAGCATGGAGATGGATACCCCTTTGATGGCAAGGACGGGCTCCTGGCTCATGCCTTTGCCCCGGGCCCTGGTGTTGGGGGAGACTCCCACTTTGATGACGATGAGCTGTGGACCCTGGGAGAAGGGCAAGGTAAGAGAGCGAACATCTACATGCTGGGTCTCCTCTCGGGTCCTCTGCATGCCTTGCTGTCCCTAGCAACAAGGACCGTGGCTTCCCTGGCAACCCCAGACACCTCCATCTCTCTCCGATCAGAGAGCTGGCCATGGGAGGGAGGTCACATTCCTGACTGAGTCAGAATCCTGGTCTCCAAAGAAGGGTCTGGAGACGCTGACAGTCCACCCCGTGTTACCGTACGCAGTGGTCCGTGTGAAGTATGGGAATGCCGACGGAGAGTACTGCAAGTTCCCCTTCCTGTTCAATGGCAGAGAGTACACCAGCTGCACAGACACTGGCCGCAGTGACGGCTTCCTCTGGTGCTCCACCACCTACAATTTTGAAAAGGATGGCAAATACGGCTTCTGCCCCCACGAAGGTGAGCTTCCACCTGGCCCTAGGCTTTCCTCCTCAGCCTCTACCTTGCCAGGCTCCCCACTCTCCCCCTGCCCTCCCTACTCCTCCACAGGCCTGACACTGCCAGCCAGCCAGCATGTCCCCACTCCATTCATTCAGGCCCCACCACCCTCGTGTGAGCCATGGTTGTGTCCTTCTCATCTGCACGATTATTTACACAATACTTTCATTAAATCGGTTTGTTGGTTTTGTCATTAGCAATAGCATTTGTGAAATCACAGGCTTTTAAAAAATATATATTTTATTTATTCATGAAAGGCACAGAGAGAGGGGCCGAGACTTAGGCAGAGGGAGAAGCAGGTTCCCAGGCTGAGCAGGGAGCCCGATGAGGGACTGGATCCCAGGACCCAGGGATCACGCCCTGAACCAAAGGCAGATGCTCAGCCATTGGGCCACCTGGGTGCCCCAAATCACTGGCTTGTTGTACTAATTACTTTTTTTCTAATGTGCGTGAGAATGAATTTAGAACTACTAAAATGCCCAGTGATTCTCTCTAGAACCAGTCTCTAGCCCCAGGCCAGGATGGGGGCTTCAAGGACTTAAGAAGAGGCTGTGGAGGATGGCTTGGAAGCCTAGCAAGCTTGGGAAGCAAGACTCAGACACAGAGGCTGATACCCAACCTGGTTTGGGGACACCGGCCCTGGGAATTTCAGCCATTGTTCCCGGTTCTGACCGACTTTTCCAGTGTGTGTGTGTGTGCATGCATGTGGACACGGACTCCCATGCTCCTGCACACACACCTGGGTGTGTACACATGTCTGGGTGTGGGGCCTCTTCCTTATCTGCCTCTCTGGGTTTTTGTTTCTGCTTGTGTCTGCATCTCTGTGTCTTGGCAAAGGCATTAGGCCTGACTCAGTATTTTTGTAAGTGTTTTTGCCAATGCTTGAGACATTAACATTTTCAGATGTTTTGAAACCATACAGAGGGAAAAGTTTTTTAAAGTGGTCAAGGTATTGACATACTCAATCTTTTTTTAATATATCCTTTACCATGAGACACACTTCATAACTGGAAATCATAAGAAGACAGCATGTACGTTTTTATACTTGTCACATCATCATACTGGATGATTCTAGAAGTCAAAAGCCCAGAAAACTGGAGGGAAATGGGAGAAAATCCAAAAATTCATTTTGTAAATATTTGTTTCTTTTCCATCCCCATAAAGACTCTTTGATCTATATATCCCTGTGTTTTTTCGGCTGTAATTTTACATGTTTGTTATGACTTCATAGCTACTGGACATTGAGTACCAGCCATCTTAACAGAAGGAAAGGAACAAAGATCTAGTTAATCTGTTCCTGTTTATGCTTTTAATACCAAGCTCACACAATACTTTGTATTAAGTAAGAGCTCAAACCACTGACCATTAATAAGTCAGAAATTTTTAAACAAAAATATTTTATGTATCTTGCATTTCCCAATAGGGATTCAATCAGAGTTAACCCTGCCATGTGTCAGTCCCTGTGATTAAAACAAAATGCCTTGATTGTAGAAGTGGAAACAGCTGTAATTCTTAAGTTTGGTTTTTCCCTGCATTGGACATTAGCCATATACTTGATCTTTAGCCAGATGCAAGTACGTATAACACGCGCGTGTTTGGGTCTTGGAATAGAGGTTCTGGTTACTCAGCCCCTCCTGACTGCTGAGTCAGTGTCCTTTTCCCTTTATCCTTGTTGGGGGTAGGATCTGAAAGGAGATGGGGCTTTCTGGGTGGTAAAAATGCAGCTGTTGGGAGGCCAGAAGCAGAGGCTGGCCTCCACAGAGGTTGACACTGTGCCTTTCCTTCTCTGAGGCCACCAAGACATGTGGCTTCAGTTTTGGCTCTTTCTGAGTCTTGTTGTTTCTGGCATTGTGGGGGAAGGTCTCTTGGTTGGGAAGAGGAGAGTAGTGAGGATATGGGGCCCTGATCCTGCCATCTCTGGCCCACATTTTGGTCATGGTGGAGTTAATGGGGGTTGATGAGGTCACCTCTGGCGCCGTTGCGCACAGATGGTCCTTGTTACGCACTTGTGGTTTTGCTAGTTGGCAATTCCAGAGACACACCATTTTGTAGCTTTAGGGTGGATGAAGGCATTGGGGGAGCAGGAGAAGAACCTAAGAGAGACCAAAACCCAGACTCCGAATCCCACTCTCCCCAAATTCTCCAGTCATAGCCTCACATCTTGGGAAAGTTAGAACGGGAGAACAAAGTGTATGTTATCCTTTCCCCCTCTCCTCCTCTCTCCCCTGCAGGGACCACAGCAGGGCCATCCAGGAAAGTGCCTGAGGTTGAAAGGGAGGTGAAGCTTCCTCTGTGTGTGTGTGTGTGTGTGTGTGTGTGTGTGTGTGTGTGTGAGTGTGTGAGAGAGAGAGAGAGAGAGAGAGACAAAGACTGTGTAAGCAAGAGAGAGATGACCACGAGCAGTTCCAGAGTGAGCCTTCGCAGAACCGCTTTCCTGTCTCTCGAATGGAAAGCCTCTTGTGGTCCTGCCAACCACGATCTACGTGGCGTGGGCATGGACCAAGCATCGGGGACAGAGACCCTTGGGTGTGGGCAGGGCTCTGGAAGCCCCACGTGCCTCAGGTTTTACCATCTCCTTGTTGGGAGGAGGGAGTTTGGGTGGGTTAAGGGAGGTGTCCTTAAGGTCCCAGGGGAGGGACTGAGGTGGCCAGGGGGGACAGGAGTACTCTCCAGGAGCCCAGAGAAGCAGCAGTTGACCAACGGCTAGAGATGGGTTTTGAATATTTTAACGATGCTATGACCTCACTGGCGTGACCCGGCGGTTGGCGACCAGCCAGGGCTGGGTCCACGCGGCGGCCAGCTGACCCCCAGGCAGGCAGGCGGTGGCCGCTCACATTCACACCCTCCCCTCTCTCCCCCGCCCCCAGCCCTGTTCACCATGGGTGGCAACGCTGACGGACAGCCCTGCAAGTTCCCGTTCCGCTTCCAGGGCACCTCCTACGACAGCTGTACCACGGAGGGCCGCACGGACGGCTACCGCTGGTGTGGGACCACGGAAGACTATGACCGCGACAAGAAGTATGGCTTCTGCCCCGAGACCGGTGGGTGTCCCCCCCCCCCGCCGCCCCTCACCTCGGCCGGCAGCCTGCCCTGCACACAGAACCTCCCAGAGCGCCCTCCCCACCTCCCACCTCCTTTCCCAGGACAAGGGGTGGCAGTCAGAGTGCTTAGCAGCTGGGACAGTTGGGCACCCAAATCTGAACGGTCGGCGGGCACCCGTAGCCAGTTGAGCCGTCTGGGAAATGCCTGATGTCGCACCAGCTCGGGACCGGTCTGAATGGTCCACCTTCCGTCGATTTCCTTTGCGATCATTTCTCTTTCTCTGTCTCCTCTTGAAGTCTCTCTTCCCTGCCTTTCTTTGCTCCTGTCTGCATCTCTGGCCTTCATTGTCTGTTTTTCAGTAAGGACTCCCTGCCTCCTTTCCTCCTCCCTCCCTCCCTTGCTTCCTGCTTGCTTCCCTGGCCCATCTTTACTGAGCACCTGCTTTCTGCAGGAGACACGGGTAGGTCTTTGCAGGACCCTGCGTGAGGGAGCTCCTGGTCTACGGGAGTATGTGGGTGCTTCTAGCTCTGCCCAGCCCCCTTTGCCTCTGGTCCCTCTGGCCTGGTCCATGGGAGGCTAATCAAAGCTCTGGAATCTGGCTGCGTGGGTGTGAATCTTATCCCTGACACTTCTAGCAGTAGCTGCTCAGGCAAGTTTTTTCATTTCTCTGAGTTCCAGTTTCCCATCCATGAAATGGTGGGGTGGGGGTAGGGGGTAGGTTATGCTCCCTACTGCACAGGGTTGTAGAAATGTGTATAAGGTGTTTGCTCCAGTGCCCAGGCCTGAGCAAGTGAGTACTCAGTAATCATGGTTTGTTAACTGTCTGCATCGTGTCATTCCCTAGTGGTAGCCTCGGGTTCCTCACTGCCCCCTGACCCATGTCCCTCACTCCACAGCCATGTCCACTATTGGTGGGAACTCGGAAGGCGCCCCCTGTGTCTTCCCCTTCACCTTCTTGGGCAACAAGCATGAGAGCTGCACCAGCGCGGGCCGTAGCGATGGGAAGGTGTGGTGCGCCACCACGGCCAACTATGATGATGACCGCAAATGGGGCTTCTGCCCCGACCAAGGTACAAGGTTCTGACCATTGGGCAGAAACACCAGACCCCATCCCGCCCCTGCACCGGAAACCTTCCTGCCCTCCCCGCCATCGCCCCACTGGCCACCCACCTCAGGCACAGACACCAGCCCCACACACCCACCTGTGCTGGTAGAGACAGTATGTTGACTGAGGTCCTGCCCATCCCTGGAGACGCTGTGCTTTCCCTCCACCTTGACTACCCCTCTAGATGGGGTGGTTCCTGCCCAAAACATTCAGTGCTGGGCACAGGGTATCCTATACCAGAGAACGATTCCCCTACAAGGCATTCCTGCTCCAACGAAGAGCTGCCTTCAAGGAGCTGGGTGGGCAGGAGATGTGAAGAAAACAGAAGTAGTCTCATCGTCCAAAGCCACCCTCCAGGCAGCACGAGAGAGCCCCCAGAGCCCTCCTTGTCCCTTTGCCAAGTTGTTAATGGTGGGGAGGGTCTCTGACAGTGCTGAGTGCTGAGGACAGCTGCCTGACACAGCTCTTTGCCCTCCAGGGCACACAGGCTGGGGCAAGAGAGTGACCAGGAGATAGGCCATGACCTTACTATGTGGTCAATGCAGGGAGTAGAGGGGTGCCTGGGGGCACCATGCCCACTCTAGTCTGCAGGGCCGGGTGGCATTGGGCCCAAAGCTCCCTAATGGCCCCAGATGGACAGGGGAGAGGGTTGCTGCAGGGCTGGCCAGAATTCAATCAGCCTCTTTCTAGGTTACTTTTCTTGTTTACTCACAATGAGATGGAGTTTGAATTGCATTAACTGCCAGAGGCCAGCCAAAAGAGTTTTCCTTAACCCCTACCGAATGCCAGGCTAGGACATAGCTTGGTATTACGTGCTCTGCTCCAGCTTCTGCCTAAAGGTGGGATTCTCCATCTGCTGGGAGGGCTTAAGGCTCCAGAGCTCGTGTGGCACACTCATAGCATGTATTAGTTTCCTGGGGGTGCCCATAACCAAGTGCCACAAACTGGGTGTCTTAAAACAACAGAAAATTATTCTCATGCACTTTGGAGGCCATAAGTCTAAAGTCGAGGCATTCGTAGGGCCACATTCCCTCTGAAGACTGCATTGCTCCAATCTCTGCCTCTGTTCTTACATGACCTTCTAAGTATCTTCTCTTCTTAGAACGACACAGGTCACAGTGGATTAAGGGCCCACCCTACCCTGGTACGACCTCATTTTAACTTAATTTATCTGCAAAGGTGCTATTTCCAAATAAGTTTGCATTCATAGGTGCTTGGGGTTAGGAATGAACTTATCTTTTGGGGAGACTCAATTCATCCTACAACAGAGTATGAAATGGGGTTTGCTCTCTGTGACTGAGCCTGGGCAGCCACTCCAAGTGAGACTGGATTTTATGGCTTCCTCTGGGGAAGAAACAGGGGACCCACTCTCTTACCTCTTGGAGACCCTACTCTTTGTAGAAAAACATAAAGGCAGAAAACCAGATTTTTAACAAATGAGACTTTAAGTAGAGGATTTACAGCTGTTCCTGGTCTCCTCTAGAGCTTGCATGAAGCCCAGCCTGGAAGGGACAAAGGAACTTTGGCTGACCCTCCTTGAAAGCAATTGGCATAGTCTATCAGACCCAGAATTCTCAGGAGAAGAGAGAATTAATATGTGCCACTTGCAGGGCTCTCTGCCCCCTACTGTGGGCATGTCCTCAAAGTCAGCATCACTGGGGCCAGAGCCTCGCTCCTCTCTCATCTCTCTCCCTGTCTCTACCGCTCTCCCCCACTGCGGCCCTTAGGGTACAGCTTATTCCTGGTCGCAGCCCATGAGTTTGGCCATGCAATGGGACTGGAGCACTCTGAGGACCCTGGAGCCCTGATGGCACCCATTTACACCTACACCAAGAACTTCCGTCTGTCCCATGACGACATCAAGGGCATTCAAGAGCTCTATGGTAACCCGCAGCGTGGGAGTCTCGGGATGGGAGTCTGGGGAGGTTATGCAGCCTGGGGTGGAGGCTTGGGGCTTGGGAACCAGCAAGGTCCCATCTTTCCAGAGCTGCAGGAGATGGAGGCAGGAGCATTGATCTGTTCTGAGCATATCAGAGCAGCTCCTCAAGGGTTAGTCCCCTTCCTTTGGATGGTCCTGTTCCTTTCCAAATAATATCAATATTCATGTCCCTCTTGGCTTCCCGGAGCCACTCCGTGAGCTCAGCAGGGAGAAACTGGCTCCACGTTTTCAAGGTGGGTACACTGAGGCCTGACTAAGGTTCCCTTCTGGCACAGGGTCGCCAGGTTTGAGCCACCAAGTTAGGTTTAGAATTCAGGAGAATGAGCTAAAACCCAGGACAGAATTGCTCAGCATGTGGAAAGACCCTGATGACATGGAGAGATGAAAATGTCTAGTTTTCCTACCTGTTCTTTTATTTTAATGTGTAATGGGCACAATGGAACCAGAGCTTGAAACTAGTGATTTATTTACTATTACTTACAATGAGGCTAGAGTGGGTCCATTTAAAAAAAAAAAAAGTGGCTATAAGATGGTCCTGGACCAAGTCAAAGTAGTGGAAGTGGTGCTGGGTGACAGCTGGGGGCGCACGGATTTGGGAAGGAACACCGGCTCGAGGTAGAGGTGTGGAGTTTGAGGGCCTCTGCCACTCACGCACAACAAGCGATGGAGCAGGACTTTACCTCCCTGGACTCAGTTTGCACTGTGGCCGGTTGTCATGAGGAGCAAAGGGATGAGTCCTTGAGAAAGTGCCCGCTGCTGACTCTGACTCTCCTGTGGGCTTAAGGACCCGAGCGTTGGAGTTGAATGATTGGGTGAGTCATTTAACCTTGGTGGGCCTCAGTTTCCTCATCTGTAAAATGGAAGTACTATGATGAGGACTGGTTCGGGTGATGTTGGTGAAGAGCATTTGTAAAGGACCAGGTGCTGGGGGTTCTGGTTTCTCTTTCCTGTCCCCCACCCATCACATCCAGGCATCATTTCTGTGTCTCACCTGGGCTCAATCCAAGGCCAGAATACTATTTCTTCTGACCCTTAGCAGGTTGAGTGGGCAGCCCCGGGGGCTCAGCCTGGTGGGGAGAGTCTGAGGTCATGTCCTCCTCCAGGGGCCTCCCCTGATGCTGGCACGGGCACTGGCCCCACCCCAACTCTGGGACCTGTCACTCCTGAGATCTGCAAACAGGACATTGTCTTTGATGGCATCTCTCAGATCCGTGGGGAGATCTTCTTCTTCAAGGACCGGTGAGTGCAGGAGCTTGCTTCTTGTCCTGCCTTCTGCCCATTCCCTCTGTTATTCTCGTGGTCTGGGAGCCCACTGGAGGCTTCACAGAATGGCCTGTATAGACAGTTTGTCCCGTGTATTGGGCAGCCTCCAGATGTCAGTGGCTTACCACACCAGACATTTCTTTTGCTCTATCCTAGTCTGTGGGTCTGCTAGGTGTCTTGGCTTCAGGCTATGGTTTGGGTTTGGGTACGTTCTGCATGTCTCTCATTCTCCTGGGGTTAGCAGCTACTCGTGCCAGATGACAAGCACAAGAGGCCAAATCAAATCACACAAGAACATTTAAAGCCTTCACTCACAACACGGCTGAGAATGTTCCACTGACTGAAGCAAATCACATGGCCAAGCCCAACACCTGCTATAGAGGGTAGTATTTGTGAGGTCACATAGCAAATGCACGTGGATGTGTCATTCTAAAAAGGGGTGGAGGGAAGAATTGGGAACAACAATCCAGGTTCCCACAGGCTTTCCCCTGGAATGGCCTTGACCCCGGATAGCCAAATTGTGCTTTGTATGGGGAGCAAGTAACCACAGGGGAGGGGTGGTATCCTACTATATATCTATCTATGCTATAGATAAAGGCCCCCCATTCAATCAACCAAGAGCTGAAACTCACCCAGCTACCCTAGCCCTCCCAGAGAATGGCAGACAGTATCTAGGACCGCATTGAAGGGTCTGTCCATCATGTGACTGTACATATATGCATGTATACATATACCCATCCATCATTCATCTATTTGTCCGTCATCTATCCATCTATTATTCTTTATCTATTATCCATTAGCCTGTCTTCATTCCTCCATCCTTTCATCCATCCAACCATTCAGAAAGTGTGGTAGTTGACAGAATGGGCTCTGGAGCCAGATTGCCTGGGTTGGAATCCTGGATCTGGTGCTTAATAGTTGCACGATTATAGGCAAGTTAATTATGTGTGTCCTTGGTACCTCCATTTTCTCATCTATAAAATGGGAATAGTATTCTAACCTGCATCATGGGGCTGTTGTAGAGATTAGATGTTGTAAGATTAGATGCTTAGACTCATGCCTGACACAAGGCAAGTGTATTGGATCATACTAGCTAGTATTATCAACAAACAATCACTTGGCATCTATTGTGCCAACTACTTTGCTTTAGGAGCTGGGGTGGGAGTTGGCTTGCTGAGAGCAGATGGGCTGCCTAATGCCTAGAGAGGTCCATGGGCCTCCTACACCAAAGCCCCAAAGGGTGTAAATATTAGGAGTGTGGGTTTCTGTGCCCACCCCCAGGCCCTCTGAAATCTCTGGGAGTGGGCCCCAGGCATCTGCATTTTCACAAATTCCCCTATGATTCTTATATTCATTGAAGTGTGAGCAGCAGCAGTCTGATTTGGGAAACAGGCAGGGAGACCTGACAGCAATCCACAGCCGGATGAAAGGAATGGACTTGCAGAAGTATTTTGAAAATGCTTGCCTGGACACCTGCAAGTCAGGGAAGGCTCTGAAAAGGAAGCAGCCCTTCAGCGGGCCTTTAAAGAACTGAATCATGTGGGAGTGACGAGCTGACAGATTGGAAGGGTATTTGGGCAGGGGGCCCCACAGGAGCAGATCAGAGCAGAGCTGTAGAGATGTGAGACTTCCTGGCTTGCAGAGGGGAGGGACGGAAAGAGCCTGATGAGGCTGGAAGATGTTCCATGAACTTTTGTGAAGCACGTCCTCCTCTGGTCCAGGCACTGGGCTCTGTGCCGCAGGGAGGATGCCCTGCTTTTTGCAGAGTCTTCTGGCCAACAGGGAGATGGCCAAAATGCCGAGATAGCTAGGAGACCCAGAATGCAGTGAGAAGTCAGGTACTGACTTGAATGCCCAAACCTGGAAGTGTAACAAAAGATGCCAGTGCTTTCCAGCAGCCCCCATTATGGGGATGGGGAAGAGGTAAGTCAGGGGGCCCCACTCCCCAGGACTGTCCTTAGCCTGGAGCACCTCCCCATAAGGAAACCCTGACCACACATTTAGATCTGAGAAATGCAGACCTAGAAAAGGGTACAGAGCCCAGGCCCAGGTTTAAAGCCATCCCTGGCCTGATACAGCATAATTTCAGAAGGAAAGTGATGAGTGTTGATGGGTTTGTTGAATTAACCAGCAAATATTTAAGCCCTGATCAGGTGCAAAATGGGGGATGGAGAAAGGTAATATTGCAAGATAGTTAAACCCAGAACTTTGGAGTCAGGTCTGGATTCAAATCCTGATAATATTGTGATCTCTCTGAGCTTCATTTGCCCAATAAAGTTGATGGTACCTTCCTGCAGCAGGGTGTTTGGGCTGCAGATAACGGGGAACCCCAGCTCAAACCAGCTTAAACAACAGACAGAAATTGCTGTCACGTGGTATGAACTCCAGGGGTAGGGTTGCCTCTAAGGGCAGAAAGAAGCTCAGTGACTTAATGATATCTTTGTCCACTGCCATCCTCTCGAGGCTGGGTCCCTCATGGTCAGACAATGACTGCCAGGGGCCGTGGGGGCTGCAGGCTTCCTTGGCCATATCCAGCAGGAGAGAGTGAGAGATTCCCCAGCTGTGAATTACAAGTCTGTCTGTTCAATCTCATTGGGCCCACATGAATCATACAGTAACTGCTGAATCCATGCCAATTTCTAGGAAACTCTAAGCTCTGATAGGCTTAGACCAGTGGTTCTCAAATGTTGGCATGAATTAGGATCATCTGGAAGGCTTGTTAAAGCAGATTGCTGGGCCCCAAGCCCAGAGAGTCTGGTGCATAGGTCTCGAGTGGGCCCCAACAAAGTTCCCAGATGATGCTCATGCTACTGGCCTGGGAATCGTACCTCGAGACCAGTGGCTTAAGCTCATCAGAATGGGGATGGGTCTGCCGGTGGGCAAGCTCGGATCATAAATATGGAAGTTGGGATCCCTGGGTGGCGCAGTGGTTTGGCGCCTGCCTTTGGCCCAGGGCGTGATCCTGGAGACCCGGGATCGAATCCCACGTCGGGCTCCCGGTGCATGGAGCCAGCTTCTCCCTCTGCCTATGTCTCTGCCTCTCTCCCTCTCTCTCTCTCTCTCTGTGACTATCATAAATAAATAAAAATTAAAAAAAAATAAAATAAATATGGAAGTTGTGTGAAGAAGGATGATAGGGAAATAAATGTATCATGGATGCTCATAGACCACCAGGAGTGCATATTATCTTGTCACATTGTGAAGATTTCATTTTACAAGACACACAAAGGGCGTGGTGCTTTGTAGGCTGTCCGTAAATAAGAGCTCTCGCCCCTGCCAAAGTACACGAGTCCATTCCATTTCAATTCAGGAGATGATTTGAGTCCCATCAGCCCCTGCCTCAATGGACATCTGAGCTAATAAGAGAGATAAACCATCTTAAAAAAATCATCAAACTGCTATTCCAGACACTCGTGTTGAGGAGGAAGAATGTGGTATGACGGAGGTAGTTAGGGAAGGCTTCCTGGAGGAAGGAGCAAGACAGGGGCAAACAACATGGCTTCTCAGCCCCGGTATCTTGCAGATCAGGTGGGCAGAGCTCTGCTCATTCTCCAGTCCTGCCCCCACGTGCCCTTGACCTGGCCTTCCTGTCTGAAGGCATCATCAATGGGAAGTTTTTGGGTGGGCTTGTGGTAACAGCTGCAGAGTGACCCAGAGTGTGGTTTCCTGTGTCCCCTGCCCCCACTGCAGGTTCATTTGGCGGACAGTGACACCACGGAACAAGCCCATGGGGCCCCTGCTGGTAGCCACATTCTGGCCTGAGCTCCCGGAAAAGATCGATGCTGTGTATGAGGCCCCACAGGAGGAGAAGGCTATATTCTTTGCAGGTGCGTGGGAAGGTCTCTGCCTCGCCCTCAGATCCCTGGGGCTCTGCACCGTGGTTCCTGTGTACCTGTGGGTACTCCCTGTCCTTTCAGGATCTGTTCTTTCAACCATCAGTTCCAAAAGCGTGGGATTCCTCTGGGTGATTGGCTCAGACACCCAGCATCAAACAGCACTAGCCCACAGAGTGAACATTCCATTACCTTTTAATTTCCAATCCTGATCCTCTTCTAGAAGGAAAATCACAGTTTAGTGCCTGTGTGCTGGTGTCCCTAACACTTTTCTAATGCTGGAGCCTTTGGCAGACAACGATTTTAGCTAGAACTTTTTCTAAGATGATCTCACTTATAACATTTAAAATAAATTGATTTCCAAAAAAATTTATCTCCATGGATTTCAAGATGAATTCAAGATGAATTCCTCGAAAACAGAATAGGAGGTCAATAAGAGGACGGAAAGTCTCTGTAAATGGTAAAAATTACCAGGGGTAGGGTCACGTGGCTAACACTTGGGAAACCTGCTCATTCAGCATCTGAACCTACCACGTGCCAGGGATCCAGCCGCTGCCCTCATGGAGCTCACAAGTTGGTGGGGGAGACAGAAAAGCAGGCTGTGAGGAAATGCAGTAGGGCTATGGCAGGGCAGGGAGGACCAACTGGACCTTGCCCTGGTCTGAGGTGTGGGCACAGGGACGGCTTCCTGGGGCATCAGACAGGTACGTGTTCCACCAGCCAGCTCCCCACCCCCTCCATCCCAGAGTGGTCCTGGGCAGTGGCACCAATTAGGAGAAGGTGTTCATGGCAAGTGTGGCACTTAGCGTGTGAATAGCAAGGGCTGCTTCTAGAGGCAGGTTGTAAAACCATATATGTGAGTCCCGGTCCTGGGCACTGAAGCAGAAGTGAGCAGGACCTCGTGTCCCCATCGAGAGCGGCCACGGTGGCATCCCCGACAGACAGACGATAGGCAGAAGAGGCCAGGCTGAGGGGCTTCAGCACCAGCCACCAATGCCCGCTTTGCTCCCTCCCCAGGGAATGAGTACTGGGTGTACTCAGCCAGCACCCTGGAGCGAGGGTACCCCAAGCCGCTGACCAGCCTGGGGCTGCCCCCTGACGTTCAGCGCGTGGATGCTGCCTTTAATTGGAGCAAGAACAAGAAGACCTACATCTTTGCCGGAGACAAGTTCTGGAGGTAAGGGCTTGGCGGTGTGGGCGGTAGAAAGGGGGACAGCACAGCCAGCTGTGTGTGCGTGGAGAAGACGTGCTGCGGTTTCCTGCTTCCTGGGGCAGAGTCGGTGGTTTGGGGCCATGGGTTCCCCCTCCGACCTCTGAGAGGTCCCCAAAGGATCAACCATCCTTGGGCACGTTTCTGGTGCAAGGTGGTCAGAACCTCCTTTCCTTTTCTGAAGTCTTTGGATGGGGCCCCTGTCTGCCTGTCTGGAACCTCTCATTTGGGGGTGCCTTGCTGAAGAAGGCGGTAATAAAAATAAAGCTAATTACTGCTACTACTCACACTCTCCACCAGACACTATTCTGTGGACTTTACGAGAAAATGTCGTTACTCCTATTCACATTTTACAGATGAGGGGAAGCATCTCGCTTAAAGTCACACAGCCAGGTCATGGCAGGTTGGGACTTGAACCTTGGAATTCTGGCTCCCAGAGACTATGCTATTTATTCCTCACTATTCACTACTATACCTTAGATAGCGGGGTGTGAAGAAATAGGGGTGATGAAGGCGGGGGGTGGCGCTGAGGACCCGGCAGGAACTTCCAAATCAGGTCCCATGGGAAGCAGCAGGCACTCTCTGGCGTGTCTGCCACCAGTCCAGTGTCTCTGGGTGCAGACTGGCAGGGGGCTAGTTTGGAAGCAGGTAGCTCCCTGCTCCTGGTCATCAAAAGGGAAGGGTTCAGTTCCAAGAGGCCATGATCAGGGCTATGGGTCAGGGAGTCCAGTGTCCAGGAATGGTCAGTGAAAGGCCATCCAGACTTCTGGAGTTTGATTATAATTCTTCACTTTTCCCAGACAAGGAAACTGTGGCCCAAAGAAAAGAAATAACTTGGTCTACATTATTTAAGTGCAAGTGTGCTGACCACAGAGCCGGGATGATAACTGCTTCTCTAGTCCCATAACCCCACACCCCTCCACGGGACCCTGAGGGTCATTTGGGCAGTAGGGAGGCATGGGAGGTGCAGGGGGTGGTTCCTGCATTCCTCCTGTGGCTGCAACTGCATCTGGGGCCCTTTGTCTGCCTTCCCTGGAACATTCCAGCTTCCCTCCCAGGCTACTCTCTTCTCCCCTTGCCCTGCTCCCCACCACCCTGCCCCCAGAGGCTCTGCATGCGGAAGCTATTTGCCTGTGTCAGGGAGGAATTCCAGACGTATTTCTAAGATACTTAGCAGCTCAAACTGATGGATATCTCAAACCTCAAGAAAGAACACAGTCAGCCAGGAAACCTTGGGGCCGGCTTTCTGCCCAGAGGCTCCGGAACACTCCTCAGCACTAGCACATACTACAAATGGCCTCTCAGCCTGGTAGGTGCCCTGAATCTCTAAATCTTAGAACCCAGACGGCGAAAGACACAGACACATAGAAACGTGAATCTTAGAATCTTCAAGCACTGGTGTCGACGATTCAGGGTATTGGAAGGACTTCTATAATCTCCCTCCAATGTTCCCCACCCCGTGGATAAAAACACATATGACAGATGCGACCACATGTGAATGCGAGTGAGCACATGCACATGTGTGCACATACACGAGGACGCTCGGCTGTGGTGGAGCCTGGCTGGGTTTTGGGCAGGGTTACCTGTTTCTCAGTCCTTCTCTGCAATAAGCCCACCTTCCAAAGCTGGGGTCCAGGATGCGCTGCTGTAGGCCAGTGAAACTTACTTAAAAGCAGCAGAGCCAAAGGCCTTATCGGAATCTCAGGGCTGGGTTTCCTGAAGAGACCGATGCATCTCCTGAAAAAGGTCATTAGTGAATATGAGACACTGTTACTGGAGCTGAGTGTGCAGGGGACTTGGAGGCCTCCCTGCAGGAGAAGGACAGACACCCCCAATGACAGAGGACAAAGCTGCTGCCTCCAGCCTGACATCCCCTAGTTTAATCCAGGGAGTAATCAGCCCTTGCTTCTGGAAGCTTCCACTAAGCCCACGAATGTATATTCGATATCTTCTATGTTCTAAATGTATATTTGATATCTTCTATATAAAGCCAGGTGCTGGAAGACAGTGGTCAAGAAATAGTCACACTTTTCCTTGCAAAATTTATGGTAGAATGAGGGAAATAGACATATGTGCATTTCGCCTTTATTTTTCACGTAGGGTAGATACTATCTTTAGCCCCATTTTCCGGGTGTAGAAACTGAGGCTGAAGTGGCTCAAGGATACACCCGAAGAAAAGCTAGGATGGAAGCGTCTGTGTTCTTAACACCTGTTCTACACTGCCAGTTTCCACAGCTGCGGGGAAGTACAGGGTGTTGCAGAGAAAGAAACCTTTTAAGACAGCCAGCAGGAAACACTGTAGGAGCCTGGGGACAGAGAGCCGAATGAAGAGCTTCGAGCCCCTGCAGAGCCAGCACCTTCTGATGTCATGATGTAGGGCCCTTCCCAGAGGAAAAGAACTTGGAACCAAATTGGTTCTCTCCCCTGAGCCTCGGTTTCCACATCTATAAAATGAGGTGGCTTCCTGCCCTGCCCACCCTCTGTGGCTAGGCTGGATGCAAACATAGGGCACATAGCTCTGGGTCGGGGGTGGGGCTTCAGTGAAGGCCATGTGGATGATGTGGATGGAGGGCTGGGATTTTGAGCTGCAAACTTGGCTTTGGTACACCAGGTCACGAGGAAGCATGTTAGGTTTTGCAAGCAGTCTTATGATGCAGCTGGGATCAAGGAAGGCTTTTCTGGCAGTTTCTCAGAGTGACGGAGAAAGGGGGAAGCAAACCCCCCTGGAGAAGGGAACTTACAGGAGAAATTATTGTGGTGTTGGGGTGGCCATGGGGAAGAGGATCCACTCTGAGGCACAGCAGAGGAAAGCCTGGCTGTCACTAGAATGGCATTCAACCATGGGTCTGTCTAGAAAGTTAGCTCCACAAGGGCAAGACTTTATCTGGATTTTAGTATATGCTGCCGAAGCGAGCACTGTCTTGATTATTGCAATATCCACTGACAATCAGAGAGGAGGAGCTCATTAAATATTTAGGGAATAATAGGTTGTGTGTAAATAGAGAAGCAAAGGAATCTAAGTGAGCCTAGCATTTAAGAAATTCTCCCCAAATTGAAAAAGATGGAGACATTGCTAGCCAGGAAGAAGAATATGCCAGCTAATACCCCAGGTAACTACCTGGATAAAAGGCACAGACCAGGATAACTACTCACCCTGTTAGCAGCAGCAGGGACTCCAGTGGCGGGAGGCCTGCCCCCTGACTAACAGAGCTTCCACCCACATACCTGCACTGTTAACCTGACCATCCCAGATGAGATCATCTCCCAGGATGTGGATTGTTACCTCCACATGATGGATAAAGAAACAGCAGTTTGTCCAAAGCCTCTCAGTGAAAGGTTGCTGAGGCTGGAATTTGTCCCTAGGTTCCTAGTCCAGTGCTCTTCATACCATAGCAGGGATCAGAAGTTTGTAAAGGGACTAACATTTCCCAAATATCTACTAAGTACCAGATATGGAGATAGGCACTTTGCATATATGTTCTTTCAATTCTTATATATGTCAATTAAAAACATTAACTACAACCCCATTTTATAGTTGGTAAAGTGGAGGTTTGGAAAGCAATTTACAGCCCTGGAGCCAGACAGGCCTGGGTTGGATTACTCCTTGGAAGCTGGGTGCCCTTTCTAAGCCTCTGGCCTGTAAAATTGGTATTAAGGTAATAACTGTGTCCTTGCGATTGTCACAAGGATTGACTGAGAAAGTATATGGAAAGTGGTTAACACACTGGTTACACTTTAGCAATAATCACAAGATTGCTCTTATGGGACTGTTTAAGTCACGTAATTAATAATGAGTAGTGGAGTTGGGATCCAGACCCCAGTCTGACTCCCTGGCCTTCCACTCCAGCCGGCTGCCTCCAGGCAGGGCTAGGGCTGGTTTCCCTGGGCTGGACCCTCCCATCAAGGTGGGAGGAGGGCTGGCCTCCAGGAGGTCCCACTGGTCCCTCAGATCCGCTTGCTTGCAGATACAATGAAGTCAAGAAGAAGATGGATCCTGGCTTCCCCAAGCTCATCGCAGATGCCTGGAACGCCATCCCGGATAACCTGGACGCCGTGGTGGACCTGCAAGGCAGTGGTGAGCTGCCCAGAGCCCTGTCCGCTTTCTAGGACAGGCCTCCCCACCCCCAGCCAGGGCCCAGCTCCCCACAAGCACACACTCCCTCATTGTGTAGGGAGGCAAGTGGTGCTGGGGCGGGGGCGGGGAACAAACCAGCCCCTTCAGCCCAGTACTGGGAAGGCATCCAGACCCCTGACCTCTGTGCACTCAGCCGGCTCCAGGCAGTAAGACCCAGAAAGGCCTCTCACAGCTGCAGGGCCTGGAGCCAGGGAAGGGAAGGGCAGGAGGCCTGCTGGAACAGGAAACATGGCTCTGTGCCCTGCATTCATTCTGGGGTTTGGTCCAGGCCCTTTCAGGTTCCACAGGAGGCCTTGTGACTGCCTCCCATTAGCAGAAGGATGGCTCCATTTGAGACAGGACAAACTTTGTCATGCCCTGTTGCTGATGTGGCAAAGATGTCCCACTCAACTCCATCCCTCGCTGAGTAAAATACAACCAAGTATCAGCAAGGGATAGGATTTGGGGTTGGAAAAACATATTCCTGAGGAGGCTTCTGTGAGGTCTGCAGGGTCCTGGGAATGAGTCCAGTTTGGCTTTTCAGAGGAGGTTGCAATTAAATTCCACAATGATTTCTATTGAGCCCCTATCATATGCGAAGCGCACGGCCCAAACCTCCTGTGGCGAAAGGTCTCATGTGTCCAAGAAAGAGCAAAGTATAATCCAGGGGCCTGGTTAAGGGTTCTCTTCAAGAATAAACATCTATGGAGTCCCTCTCAGGTGCCGGGCTTTTAAAGGAGGCAAACAAGATCATCGATGTCAGGAGTCACACATCTTAAAGCCCATAGGGGCTGGGCCAGTAGCACCAATGAGTGAAGCAGACAAGGCAGACAGGAGGGAGGGGTGGAGTCTGTGGTGAACCAGAAGGCACATAGCTTCTTCACAATCATCTGCTTCTTGAGGCTGCTGCAAGAACGGGACCCAGTGCTGCTAGATATCCTAGCTGCTTTATTTTATTTTATTTTTCTAAGATTTTATTTATTTATTCATGAGAGCGAGAGAGGCAGAGATATAGACAGAGGGGAAAGCAGGCTCCCTGTGGGGAGCCTGATGTGGGACTCAATCCTGGGACCCCAGGATCACACCCTGAGCAGAAGGCAGACCGCTGAGCCTTGAGCTCAACCGCTGAGCCACCCAGGCGTCCCTATCCTAGCTGTTTTAAGAGGAAGCAAGAAATGTATATTTTCGTGTGAAGTTTCCAGATGTTTATGTGTTGGCAACTTAGAATTCAGAACAAAACAAAACAAAATATTTGTGCAAGCCAAATAAAACCCCTCTGCAGGCCTGATGGATTGAGAAGCCTCCTAGTTTGCTACCTCTGGTCTCTGGGACTTGCTTAGTTTGTACCCATGCTCAGTGGAGTGCTGAATAGCATATGTTATCTGATGTAGTCCTCGCCACAAGCTCTAAGAGGTCGGTATCTTAATTCCCATTCAAGATGAAAAACAGGGACTCAGGGAGTGGACTTCCCCAGCCATTCCCTTCCCTCTGGCCTCAGAGGGATCTTCTCTGGTTGAAAAGCCTGTCCCCTATGGCAGGTGGCTCTCAAAGCTCCCAGGAACCTTCCATGTCTCAGGGTGGGGTGGTGACAGCCTCCCCTCTTTCTCATCCCAGGTCATAGCTACTTCTTCAAGGGTGCGTATTACCTGAAGCTGGAGAACCAAAGTCTGAAAAGCGTGAAATTTGGAAGCATCAAATCCGACTGGCTGGGCTGCTGAGCAGGCTCTGGCTCCCCCAGGCCCTGCCCCCCCACATTGCCTTCTGCACACCGGGCCCTGAGCGCCAGGGAAGGACCCGGATGGGCCTGGCAGCCTTCAGCTCTGTAGTTAAATGGGCGTGCTCACCCCTCCCTGGTAATTTAAGATTCTGGAGAGTGGCTCTGCCCTGTGCCCAAGGAACGGTGCTGATTGTACCCCTCCCAACTGCCCTCACCCCCCCCACCCCGTATCCCACCAGCCCCCCAGAGCCACCCCCAAAGAGATGCCTTGATATTCTCAATGCAGCCCTGCCTTGGGCTGCCTTGGTGCTGTCACACACTTCAGGCTCTTCCCCTGCCACGATTTTCTGTGGCTCACAGCACCCTCGGAGCCAACAGACAGAAACTGTCTCAAGAGGGCACTGGTGGCCTGACAGCCCGGGCGTGGCATGGGGCAGTGGGACAGGGGCGCGGATGTGGCCGCCCCACACACCTGGCTTCTCACTGCTGGCTGCCTTAGGACCTCTCCTACATTAGCAGTTTGCTTTGTATGCACTTTGTTCTTTTCTTTCGATGTTTATTTTTCCACTTTGTGATTGAATTTCTTGACCGAAGGACTCAGGTTGTCTGAAGTCACTCCACGATGCATCTCAGCCCACATAGGGATGGTTCTCTTGTTCCATCTATTTAGTACAGCCCTCCCCCATCCATTCCTCCACTGGCTGGAGGAAAAAGCCAGCCTCGGCTCCCCGCTCAGCCCCGCCCCCTCCCCTTCAACAGTTCCCCATGGGAAATGTCAACAGAGTATGAATAAAGACACCAATTGAGTGGCGGGTGTTTGTGGGCTTTTTTTGCAGAGCCTGGGGAGGGGCGATGGCCCCTGGGCCCCAGGCAGAGGAAAAAAAAAAACAAAAAGTTTAAATCTCTATTCCCTCCAGGGCTCAGGTGACTTTTGCTGCAAAGGTCAGAGCTGCCAAAATAAATAGCAAGAGACCCTCCAAGTGGGTGAGCTGGAGTCCCTCTGTCCCGTGGAAAGAGCCTTGCAATAGCAGTGGTTCTTTCATGTTGCTGGCAGGGTCTCATTCAAGGCTCCCTTCCTTCCTGACTCTCAGTTTTCTCATTGACAATAACACCTGTTCTAACACTAATACCACCAACAGTGAACAACAGTAACACCCCCTCCATTAACAGAGTGCTGATGGGGGCCGGGCACTTGACATGCATCACTTGTGTAACCTTTCCAACAACCTAAGCTTAGAGGAGGAAGCTACAATTCGCCCAGTGCTTACAGATGAAGACACTGAGGCCCAGAGAAAAGAAATGTGCCCAGGGTACCGCAGCTGTTAGGTGACAGCCCAAGTCAAGGCCAAAGATGACTTACAGGAGGAGCTCCGGCCCTCAGCCTGAGTCTCCATCAGCAGCATTACCCTCCACTGTGTTTAGAAGGCATGTGTTAATGATTAAGCTTCTGTTAATGATTAAGCTCTTTATCCCCATCTTCCCACCATATTGCCCTCTCCTCAGCCCCTTTGATACAGAAATCCTGGAGCTGCTGGAAAACAATTTTAAGGCCTGGGATTATTTCAGAGGCCCCACTTGGCTCTGTTAGACTTTCTGCTTCAGGCCTCTCATGGCTGGGCTCTCGGGATGAGTAGACAGGACTCTCTGGAGGTGACCTTAGTGGGCCAGGAGGCATCTTTTCTCCTGTGGCCTGCCCAATGGCTCAGATCCTTGAGGGTCCTAAAGAGATCGCTTTTGGGGCAAGTTTCTGGCTAAAGAGCCACAAGGGACTGTCAGCCACTATTTGAAGACCCCCACGCTTATATCATGATGATAATACACTATTATTAACATGCTCTGTTACACTGAGAACATTCAACTGCTCCACAACATGAGACCTCTAAGGTGCCATTTCTTGACTGCTTTTCTATGAACCCTACACATTCTTTTAATTGTTACTACAACCCTATGAGGTAGAAATTAATCTTTTCCCATTCTTAGATGAGAGTACAAGCTCAGAGAGGTTAAGTGAGGAGCAGAAAGCCACACATCTATCTAGTGGGGTTGGAAAATTTTCAGATTCTGCAGGAGCTAAATGTGAAGCATCAGCTGTCCAAGGGCCCAGATTCAGAATCTCGCCATGCCCTCCAGCCTGATGTGAGCAGCTGACCGGTAATTGTAAGATGTTCCCCATCTCCAGCCTCTGCTTCTCAGCACTCAGGGCTTGACCAACTGACCTCAGGGCCTCCCTTCCTGTTTTCCCCAACCCCACCACCACCCCCATTGGTCCAGATAGGTCCCAGACCTTCCTCAGAGAGAAATGGAACCGCAATCCAACTCATTTCCCTCATGGGGGCCAGGCTCCTCATCAAGTGTGAAAGGCAATAGTTTCTGCATTGGAAAAGCTCAGTATCTTCCATCATCAGTCGTGTTTTGAGGACAAGATTCCATCCCAGTTACCAGTATCTCCGTTGTCAGGACTTTTCTTTTCACCTGTTACTGACAAACATCCACCTCAAACTGGTTTAAGCGAAACCAAAACATATGCCAGAAATCAAACACATAAAACCCATGCTGGAGATACTAACGCACTTAAATGGAACAGCCTGGGGCTGGCTGGACCTGGGTTCTGTTTATCTGAGTTCTGTTTATCCCCATTTTACAGAAGAGGCCAACTGAGGCTCGTGGAGACACCGATTTAGCCAACATCTGTCACAAAGCCCGTAAAAGAGAATGGTACTCCAGGTGGGCATGACCCTCAAGCAGAGAACGCGCCCCACCCTGTCCTTGGGGTGCCCTGCTCCAAGAGGGAGACACCTCCAGGGGGCGGAGCTGTAGGACCCAGGAGGAAGAGCCTGATACCTAAGGGGGCGTGGCTAGCGCTCGGGGGTGGAGCTAGAGCGGAGGCTGGGGGAGGGGTTCGGAGCCAGAGGGGCGGGGCCGGCCGGGGCGGGGCGGGGCCGGCCGGGGCGAGGTGGCTCGCGCCTGCGCGGACGCCCGGCAGCAGCGCCGCGCGCTGGGACGCGGGTGCCGCTCCCCCTGGGTCTGCTCCGCCTGGGTCGCCGGGGCCGGTCCGACGCCGGCCATGAGCCAATGCGCGGAGGCGGCGGCGGTGGCCGCCACGGTGCCCGGCGCGGACATGGGGAAATCCGGGCTGCGGCCGCCCATGGTGCCCCGCCAGGCGTCCTTCTTCCCGCCGCCCGTGCCCAACCCCTTCGTGCAGCAGACGCGGATGGGCGCGGCGAGGCGCCTCCAGGTGAGCGCGTGGGCCGAGGGCAGGAGACGGAACCGCGGGAGGGGCGTGGGGCTGACGGGGGGTAGATCACGGGGAGGGATGGGGACGGAGGGAGGAGGCAGATCCGGGGAGGGGCGTGGATCCGACGGGGGGCGGAGACAGGTGAGACAGGTGAGGGAGGTGGGCCTGAGGGAGGAGGCAGATCTAGGAGAGGGAGGTGGGTCTGAGAGAGGAGGCAGATTCTGGGGAGGGAGGGAGGGAGGTCAGAGAGAGGAGGCAAATCTAGGGGAGGGAGGTGGGTCTGAGAGAGGAGGCAGATCTAGGGGAGGAAGGTAGATCTAGGGGAAGAAGGTGGGTCTGAGAGAGGAGGCAGATCTAGGGGAGAAAGGTGGGTCTGAGGGAGGAGGCAGATCTAGGAGAGGAAGGTGGGCCTGAGGGAGGAGGCAGATCTAGGAGAGGGAGGTAGATCTAGGGGAAGAAGGTGGGTCTGAGAGAGGAGGCAGATCTAGGGGAGGAAGGTGGGTCTGAGGGAGGAGGCAGATCTAGGAGAGGAAGGTGGGCCTGAGGGAGGAGGCAGATCTAGGAGAGGGAGGTGGATCTGAGGGAGGAGGCAGATCTAGGAGAGGAAGGTAGATCTAGGGGAAGAAGGTGGGTCTGAGAGAGGAGGCAGATCTAGGGGAGGAAGGTGGGTTTGAGGGAGGAGGCAGATCTAGGAGAGGGAGGTGGGTCTGAGGGAGGAGGCAGATCTAGGAGAGGGAGGTGGCAGATTCTGGGGAAGAAGGTGGGTCTGAGGGAAGAGGCAGATCTAGGGGAAGAAGGTGGGTCTGAGGGAGGAGGCAGATTCTGGGGAGGAAGGTGGGCCTGAGGGAGGAGGCAGATCTAGGGGAGGAAGGTGGGTCTGAGGGAGGAGGCAGATCTAGGGAAGGGATGCGGGTCTGAGAGAGGAGACAGATCTAGGGGAAGGAGGTGGGTCTGAGAGAGGAGGCAGATCCAGCAAAGGGGCCTGCATCTTCTGTGGGCTTTTGTCTGAGGGGAGTACTCCTGTGATGGGGAGGTATTGGAGGTGGGGGGCAGGAGTCTGAGAAGCAAGGCCTAGTAAAAGAATCAGATGCAGATCTGCGAGGTGAGGGCTTTTGAGGGGACCATGACCCTGGAAGGGGAAGAGATGTGGGTATGAGAATTGAGGGCCCGGAGGATGGTGTGAGGGTGTAAGAGAAGAGAAAATGCAAAAAGCATGTGGGCCTTAGAGGCAGGTCCTAAACAGGAGAGGGGCGAGCACACCAGTGGAAGAGGAAACATGCCATTTTGAGAAGGGAGAGGAATCTGTGACAGAGCTTCAGTTTGAGTTTGAGTTTGTTAGGTTGGAGGGGTGGGCAATCTGTAGGAGAATGGAATTGGGGAAGTCTTTTTTTTTTTTTTTTTTTGCCTCAGGGAAGGAGAGGAGTCAGTCTAGGATGAAATGTGAGGGCAAAGGCATAGAACCCAGGTCTGGAATTAGAACAAGCAAGACTAGGGGGATGAGCTGGGGAGAAGGGGCATGGAGGGGAGGAATTCAGAACCTAGGAAAGGGACAATGGTCAGTGTAAGGTGTTCAGAAGTCTTCACCCTGCATCAGTCCCTAATCAGTCTTCACTCAAACACTGCTAGATGCAACACTTCTCTAAACTTTTCTCCGACTGTTAAAAACTGCTGAATACATAAAGGAAGTTTCCTTTTCTTTCCTTTTTCTTGTAAAACGCTGCTTTTACCATTAGCAGTTACAACTTCGTGCTCTGTGGACTTCCTCTTTGGTGAAATTAGCGATCAAAGAACAAGATAGAGGGTGCAAGCTGGATTTGTCCTGTGTGTTCTGCATGACAAAAAAAAGTTTTGATGTTTTCCTGTCCATCTCATGCATTTCTTTACCTTGGATTTGGAATAGTGTTATTTTTTGCATAGCTCACTTACGTGCACTGAGACCATTGTCCTGAACAATGGAGACAGGTTAGAGTAACCGTAAATGTGCATCTGTTGAAGAAGGGTGTGAGAGAGGAAGAGGAAGATAATGTAGTAATACCTCTTTGCAAAGAAACTAAATGTTTAAAAACTTGACCTTCATGTCTTTAAATAGATATCCCTTTTGTATCTTAAAACTTCTGAAGCACTTCTAAATGCATTGACTATCACTCAAGGTTAATTTTAGTTTGATTTGGTCAAATTAGTCATCCTTAAATGAAAGTATATCTATTTGGCTTCATATTTGGAGAGATGGTCAAAGTGGCATATGTGTGTGTGTGTGTGTGTGTGTGTGTGTGTGTGTGTAGAGAAAGGGGGGGAATTGTTGGTTTTATGCATACACACCTAGCATGGCCTATTACTGTTTGGAGAGCACTTTCAAATAACGCTACAAGAACTGTAGTATAATGCAAAGATCACCAGTCTTAGTCAGAAACCCTGCTCAGGCCATTTATTACTAGTATGACTATGGCCAAATCACTTAACCTGTCTGAAGTTCACTTTCTTCCTTTATTAAATTGGAATAGTCTTACATCAAAGGAGGGTTAAAATTACATGAGATAATGCATGAAAGAATCTGGATTGTTTGCTGATCTT